ATCGGAGGTAGACTCATTTACCCTCAAACCTGAACACAATCAAACATTTGGGACGGCCACATTTTGTCTACAGAAAGTCCTTGTGATTTATACAATATTTTCTAATTCTATAATATCTGCTGCATCTCGCAAGCTGCAGCAGCACTTGTAACCTAGGTTCACGAAGCTCAATGCGAACTGGACAAGGAACGCGCATGAAGTATCAGTCGCGTTCCATGGACACGAAACTCGCAACATACTTGATGCAGGCGGCGTCGTCCCAGAAAGCGACGGCAGGCAGATCTCCGCATTCTTCAACTTTTGCCAAGGAGTCGGGGGGAGCTAGACAATAAATCCCTGCCGCTATGCAATGTTTATAACAGACAAGAAAGAGTTGTTTAAAAAAAAGCTGTATGTAACATCTTATTTAGCAGGAAGACAGGCCCAACATAAAATTCTCCGGTGCACAAATTCCATCCGCCGCAACAGCCGCAAACTGTTACAAAGTGGATCAGAGGTGTTGGAGCGCGTCCATAAATACCGTGTCTATATTTCACCATTGGCTGTTTGGTGCACGAGCTGGGCAGCCCGATTGGCCAGTCCACAATCCTTACTGCACCTGGAGCCCTTTTTGGAAATGTTTTCCTAACACTTTTGGACACTGTTTTATGGGGTTCACAAAACTCCACTATCATTTCTCCAGCGTGTTACAAACGCCTCTCATTTGTGCTCTTATATAGAGAAAACAAACCCCGAGTAATTGTAAATGTGCTACGTGCATGTGTTGGCACTCTCTACATAGAGAGGCAGTGGTGGGCAGTGTGTGTGTGTTATACACAGTGCTATGCACATGAGTGCAATGACATGGCTTACACTATGTTTGTCATGGAATCCTATAACGTTTATGATAAAAGCTATACGCGATATTACTTTGCAAAACATGACGTTGACTATTGACGGTACATAAATAAAAGCTACAATTGTATGGCGTAGCATATTGGGTGCTCAGCGAGAAAAAAAATCTGGAAAATTGTGGTAGATTAAAATAAGATATTAAATAGGATGTGTCATTGCATTCTATATTTGAAGCTTTCGTGACTGCAAGAATTCATACTCTTAGGTTTTTTCGGTAAAGTCACGTAGGTGATTTTACCGAAAAAACCTAAGAGTATGTGTCATTGCAGGTGAGGAATGCGATTCAGAAGAAGACAAAACTCACGAACCATTTAACTTTCAGTATTTGTTTGACCTTTTCCCCCGAATTATTCCAACTGTGCAATCGGAATGATATCGTGAGCTAAGTAATCCGATTGTAAATCTCACAGAGCTGTGCAACCCATGCCAGGGCATAGTTGCAGAAGAGATTCTTCACGGGAATTCTGCCACATCTTTCCAGTGACAATCTTTGTGATTTGTTTAAATAGGGGCTTCACATTCCCACACACTCTGCTATGAGATGGTCACACGGCCGTCAAACTGATGATTTATTTCATGCTGTGGATTTTTCAGCAGATAAAAGATACAAACAAAAAGACTCATGAATAAAACATCACACCCCAACGCACCACAAAACGCGTACTTCTTGTTGGATTAGCAAACACGCCAACTCATGGCAAATAACAATATACAAGATGCAGAGTTTCTTAATCATTGTCTAACAACTATTACAAAATAGCGCTGCTGTGGAAAAACTATTTCGGAAGATCGTGACCATTCCAATTGAATTTCCAGAAGACAGAGAACAGTGACAGCACAGACACAGACAGTGGGTCACAGCACAGACACAGGCAGTGAGTGACAGTACAGACACAGACAGTGGTGACAGCACAGACAGTGAGTGACAGCACAGACACAGACAGTGAGTGACAGCACAGACACAGACAGTGAGTGACAGACACAGACACAGACAGTGAGTGACAGCACAGACACAGACAGTGAGTGACAGACACAGACACAGACAGTGAGTGATAGCACAGACACAGACAGTGAGTGACAGCACATACACAGACAGTGAGTGACAGACACAGACACAGACAGTGAGTGACAGCACAGACACAGACAGTGAGTGACAGACACAGACAGTGAGTGACAGCACAGACACAGGGAGTGAGTGACAGCACAACACTCTCCACTTCACGGGGGGAAATCAATGAAAGGTAGGAAGTCAAATGGCATTCAGAAACGTGACACCCACATGCTGTAACGTGTGCCCTGGTGCTTGTAGATTAAGTGAGGACATACTCGGTACACGGTACAGCCCCAACACCAGATCGAGGTGACAAAACCATTATTTTATAATAATCAGAGGAACGTAAATGTCTCATTGAACAATTCGCCGGGGATGTTTTGTGGTTCTCATTTCACCCTTAGATAGCAGCACCCAGATGTTCTCAGGCTGTGGATGTTTTATTTGTTGTCTGAAGCCAATCACTACACACTTTGATCTCCTGTTTTTCTTCCATTCTCAGGGTATGGGAAGTCTGACGATGATTTAACAAATCACAAGGAATACATTTCAACATTTAGTAAGTGGTTCTGGAGGTGGGTCGTCTAAAAGACAAACTGTCGGATAACAACTGAATATACACATGCATACGTTCTGAACGTCTGTGCAACGCCAGCACGCAAGTTTGTATGTTTGCTGAACCAAGTGGGGGCATTTTGGACAAACTGGATCCAAAGCAGGCGTGAATATGGCGTTTTTTTAATTTCAAAATTAAAATAGAAAACGTTTACATTTTGAAACAGGCAAACTGATATTTGTATTCTCAGATATGGAATTTAGACATTAAATGCAAAAACAAGCTTCAAGTGATGGAGTTCTTGATGTAGCATTGTTAACCAGGCTAAGGCCATCAATTCTCCAGACTTAAGAACCCGGCATGAGCACAGGAGGCTGTCAGCACTTGAGCCAGGACCTCAGGCGGTGCCAACTCACGACTCTGACCTCAAAGCAACCTGGCCACCTCACTGCAGCAGGACTTTCACGTCACGACCTTTGGATCATTTGCTGATCAATGGTAAATTAATTCACAGAAAATAAAATAACGGGAATGTGTTATTGCTATTGGGAACTTTGTGAACTTTTATTGACCATGTCATCAGAAGGGCAATGTGGCCAAGGCAATCACTAAACGCCCATAACACACAACTACACGAGATCAGTATTACAAGTAGAGCTAGGACAATTAGTGAATTAGTTAAATTTATTGATGAAACATGTAATGAGTGACGTGGCGTATCCTAACAAGGTGGGACTATGAGTGTCTCTCCTGGCACTACTCTCAGGACAGGGAGAGGCAGGCATGTGTGTACATTAGAGCGTGGATCGGAACTTGTTCGGCTCCATTGCGAGTAAACTCCACCCATCCAGAGTTTCACATTTACAAAGCAACATACGAGCGCTTCTTTTTCCAGTAGTCCATTGACAACTCATATGCTTGGTGAAGGCAGTGGAGCAAATAGATTGTTGCCATCTCTACAAGTTTTTGATTGGGCCTGGTTTCCTCCCACATGCAAATACATTCTTTGATACGAAATTGGCCAAACATTCCAAGCAAGTCTCTCGTGCAAATGAGTCTCAAGCGTTTCTCGAGCCTCTCCCGAGGTAATTAAACGATTACGGATTTCCACGTCCACGATCAATTCACCCGGAATGAGCTACAAGGATCTCGTGAGATCTTCAAAAGCGAAGCAGCGTTGAGCCTGGCCAGTGCCGGGGTGGTTGACGTGAGCAAGGCGCGAGGGGGCAGTGCAGACGTCTCCTCATTCTAGACTCCTACCCGCCACCTTCAACAGCCCGCACTGACCGGCGTGGTGAAATATGGGCACAGGTCAACAGCCCGCACTGACCGGCGTGGTGAAATATGGGCACAGGTCCCGCAAGATCCGCGCGGCGAGGCCCGAACCCAGCAGTGTACTGACACAACAGGCTGTACATACACCACGCAGTATACAGCGTCACTCCTACAGCACGAGAAGCATAACGTAGTGGTCATGTACGGATGTGACAAGATGCACCACATTGATCAATACGCTTGATCTCGTTGTAACTTTGAAGCTCAGCACTGCCGGGTGCGGGCTTTGAGCCTGTTTAGGGAATGACACAGGCGCTGTCGGCTTGTGCTGCCCCGTGGCCAGGAGATGTCAGAACAGCAAGGGATAATGTGAAACCTTTTTGTGTGGAGCAAACAGCGTGCTGTCCTTGCACGTGTGAGTTTTCTCCGGGAACTAAAGCTTCCCTCCCGCACGCCAAACGCTCACGGATGGAACTGACGAAACATGCCAATGCAGGACCCTCCCATGGCAAAAGAGTCTTGAGACTCAGTAAGCCTTTCACATATAACGTCAGAATATTGTTCTTATTTACTTAACAAATCAATATCCAAAGGCTCGAACTGGTGAATCGCGCACACTGTTAGATCTATCGCTGCATGTCAGCTCATGCAATTGCAGCATCTGCTGCTGCCACCTCCGAGGTACAAACCAGAACATATGGGACGAATAAGAAGAATATCTCATTAGACCAGGAGGGTGGAGAGCCAGATGTTCATGTATGGTATTGAGTGACGCATTATTCTGCAAATGACGAAAAGCTGGAGTCGTAATGCCCGGCAAAGACTGAAGAGATTGGCGAGGACAACCACCGCATCAACAACAAGAGGCCTGGGACAGAAGCAGGAGGGCGCCACGGTCGCGAGGAGATGTTAACCACCTCGCCTGGTCAACAGGAGGTCGCGGGTTCCATTCCTGCTGCTGTATATTTGGAGTTTGCGGTGTCTCTCTCCCCGTAGTCGCGCGGATTTTTCTCCGGGTCCCTCCGCCTTTAGAAACATCACGCGTTTAGAGTCTTTGGCCGCTCTAGATTTCCACACGATAAGCCACTAAGTTTAGCTATCAATTGTGGTAGCCAGGTCGTTTCTGAGAAAGAGCGATATTGCAGTCCAGTGAGCCTTATCTGGTAAAATGAGAACACAGTTGATGTGTTTGTGTGGAGGAGATGGCGACGGGAAGGCTCTCACCTGCCAGCCGCTTCTCCCGCAGGTTCCTCCAGAGGAGGTGTCGCGCCCTGCAGGTGGAACTCCTCACGTGCTCGCTCAGAGACCTGCGCAGCCGAGCCTCCATGCCTCGCTGATGCTGGCCGAGCCGTGCGGGGCCCACTGCAGTCTGGGGGGGGGGGCAGCTAGACAGGCACAAGCCCCGTCGTGAGTGTTCTTCGGATTTCCCCCTGGCAAACAGAAAAGCTGCAACTTGGTTCCGAAAACGAGATCCCACGCTGGTAGCGGACGAGCGAGAGAAAGACGTTAAAAACACGAAGAAGAAGAAGACGAACTGAAAAACAAGCCGTGGATTCGTCGTCTTGTTTGTGCCGAAGGGCGGCGCTGCTGGTGCTGCTGTCGCAGGCGGCACGGGGCACACGAAGCGCGCTCTTCCCTCGAGGCGCCAGAGTCACTTGGAGTGGACGCGATGCCGTGTGCGTGCGCGCCGCGAGAGACGCCGCTCTTCCCGTCTTGCGCATCATCTGGAACGCCACTCCTCCAGCGAGCCCCGTGTCACCCCCACCAGCACACGCCCCGCTCGCAGGGGGAACGGACATCTGCAACTCATTTCGCCTTGTTGATTCGTTTCCCCGCAAAAAAATGACGCAAAGGAAGTCAAGCAGTTGAAATGTAAATTGTTTCGGCTCCGAGCGAGCAATCTGTAAGTCGCATGATTTCAGGATAAGTCTTCACGTGAAGGGGCTGTTACTGCTGGGAGTAGAAGCCAACCTCTTATGCCACACAGAGTGCAGCTAAACGTTTATTTGTGTTCACGGTGGAATTTGCCATTTTGATGAACGGTAGTAACGTGTTTTAAACTCATCGTGAACACGACCGACACAAGCTGATGTTGTATTTATAATTACAGTTCGAACCTGTTTGCAGGATAGGTAATGCTATCCTGTCGAATATTTTGTAATATTGCCATACGGACATCGCATTCTCATTACGGTCCCGAGGCATTGTATTCCATGGCACAATGCACAATAATATCTCATCGCTAATTCCCCGTTTATACGACAATCCAGCGCCACAACCGGTTTCATTATCTGACCAAGTGAGAGAAGTGAACCCTCTTAAGTCCGACTAAATGTTGTTGATTGACGTTACAACTCTTCACCGCCATCAACAGCCGTGCTCAATGCACAATTATTGACAATATATGCTCTGAAAATTGTAATGGATAAACAAAGGCATGTATTACAATGATTCTCCCGCACCTTCGGTTAGCACATGTGGCTACGTACGGTGCGAAGGAAGTTCCACATAGTACAACAACAATGATTAGACATGACGTGCCCTTCATCTGGAATATATCTCCAAGCACTGTACAGTATGCAGCAGCAACCACACTCAGCATAACAATAATTCGTGAAACTAAACGCTAACATACGGCACAATAATTAAATTAACGCTAAAAGCCATTTACTGAAGTAACTAACAGTTGAATAAACAGAAGTGTATAAATACGTTTGAAAACGTGTTTTAAAACTTGACACATACTCAGAGAGACCCCGATATGTCGAGGAAGAGAGTCCCAGAGTCGGGGGCTTTGGCCGCACATCGACCTGGGGAGGTCCGCTGCTCCAGACGAGACCTTGAGGGCACGTGGCTGTGTGCAGCGTGTCTCTCTGAGAGCTCGCTACGTTTTCAATCGAGTTGAAGCTGAATCCGACGTGAAACTGGAAGCCAATGCAGAGAGGCCACCATCACGGGGGCAATGTGATCTGAAGGTGTTCTGGTTAACACCCGAGCAGCCGCCTTCTGAACATACTCTATATATTAATGGTGATAACACTAACCATTTCAGATTTTGCTAATGACATGGCAACTATGAGTTGCATACAGAGGTGCTATTTTTGCGCAATTACATTTGTGTAAAAATCTAAAAAGTATATGAACATTTGTGGGGTGCCACCATGTCAATGAACGTACAAAGTGCGCGTGCACTCAGCAGACGTTTGTGCAAGTGGAGCGCAGTGCAGGCAAGAGGCAGCAGCAGCAGCAGCAGCCAGAGGTCCGAGAGTGCTGTGAGCAGAGAAGGGTGTTGACATTCCCACGTCCCACACAAACAGCCAGAATGCTTGCAGCTCATTCTCGCCGAAATTAAAACAAAACAACGAATGCACACGCCTATGGCGAACTCCTCTCACCGAATCTCTCCCCCCCCCTCTCTCTCTCTCCGAGTCACGAGAGTGAGAAAACACGAACGGAGCACCCAGCGCCCATTGTCGCTTTTCCACTCGCGAACTATTTTATCCCCTTTTCTCAATATCTGTTTGAAGTTTTACAAGGCAAGCCGGCTGAGTGAGTGTGACATCAAATATGCGGTGCATTACGGGGTTCATCCGTTTTCAAGCTTCCTCAACCTTTGTGTAGGGTTTCCATTACAGAAACAATTACGTAAGTCCGAAATGAAGCCATGTGTTGCTTCAGCGTGTAGTAATTCACAACGCAGTGTGTGCCTGTAATCGTCGTCGTGTTATTTATTTTCAAGGGAACACAGCAAGGGTTCCACCTTTTCTCATGATTGTGTATCCTGCTTGATGGCACTTCTTTGAGTTCTCCATGTAATTACTTGCACGTGTCGCCTGCTAGAGCCGTTGTGAAAGGTAAACATTAAATAGCGTTTACATTATACACGTTTCTCGACAAAACACCCTGCCATCTATTTACTGCTCCAAAGTTACATAATATCTGTGAGAAAAATGAAACGTAGACTTCGAACATGGGAGAGGTATAAATTGTAAAAAATACCATCGTTCATATAATCCCTCCCCCCGAAATTGTAATGGTTACCACATTACGTTATGACAGCGATGCTGACCTCGTATCTTGCAAAATGGTATAGGGCTTTCTGTGTATACCGTATTACCCTTTACACTGCAGTAATTGAGGTGGAAACTGTGAATTTATTTTATTGAGAAGCTTGAGCAAGAAAACCTTCACTTCAAAAAGTGAGTGACGACTTCATCAAGGAGTTGCTGAGGTTACTATCACTGGACACACCTCTTGACATGCTTTGAAGAACCTTGGAGACAATCATTTGGAAAGGGTTGAAATAGTTTCGAGTAACTTTTAGGTTTTTTTTGTTAACTTCCAAAGTATCTCTATTTTATTTGTGTGACAAGTGCCGCGGAATAAGGCGTGCACATTGGAAATAAATAATTGAAGCTACTTTCTTGTGCAAGCACTTGAGTTTTTAAATAATATTTACAAGTTATGCTATATTTTTGCACGTTCTTTACATGTACGTCACTACATAACGTCACGTAAAAAAGTGCCAAAACTATTGTAAGGACTCGTGCCAATGATCACTAAAGTTTCAAGATGACGGACCTCATCATGATCATCATCATAATCATCTTGTGACTAAGTGGTGTGCATTGGGGATGGTGTATTCTTCTTGATTAGATTGCAGGAAACATTTTACCAATCCAGTGCCGGGAAAAACAGAGTGGAATATTTAACTGTGTGCTTCACCCCAGCCCGTGTGCAATGGGCCAGAAAGCCTTCCAGAGATGATTGGAGAATAAATCTCCCAGAGTGAAATCCCTCAGCAAGCCGTGGCTGCTTTAAGTCTTTTCTCTTCGCTTTGGCACTTCCCCGCATCTGCTGCCAACAGCACCCATTAATCAGAGCAGACTATAAACAGCTGTTTGCATTTACATTATAAAATATGCAGATAAGTCATCCAACAATGCATCGTTTTTATTTCATTTGACTGTTTGTAATCCAAAGTAAATTTTAGTGGAAGGTGCCTTATAAGGGCATATGATCACTATTAATATATTATGATCGTTAATACATGTTCCTGCCATAAAGAGTGTGTGGACCTGTGCTCATCAGCACTGACATTCCTGAGCCAGTGATGGAAATTCCATCATGCTATCGTGTGGCGTAATTATCCCGTCGGGTGACCATTGTTAATATAGCAGTAATAATAATAGCAGCAATAAATTGGCCAACATGCAGTACGTGAATATTGTGTTACAAACTATCCACATTATATTGCACGTGGAGTGGCTACTATGTGGCTGACATCGGACGCAGTCTGCACGCACCACCGCGCTCATTGACCGAGATACGAAGAGAACGCTCACAGTCTGAATCGTTTATTTAACTATTTTCTTCGCCCTCTTCTCCACGACACAGCCCCGCGCCCTCTGTAAGTGTACGCCCTTCTCTGCCTGCCATTGAAAGATGATGTCTACGATTTGAGGGCCGGTCTCTCGACTCTGGGAGGCAGCATGCCTTCACCATATTTAAAGCACTTGGCTTACTTTCGGACACGGCGTGCTCTGATAATCTACTGCAGCCACCTTAGTAAATGCGCACATCCGCTTGCATGCCAAAAAGAGAGAGAGGAAAAAACCCCATCCCACTACGGGGACATCGTGCGCTTGAATTCTGGCAGGTGACAGCCTCGACTCTGGCATGGCACGCGCACCGCTCTCCCAGGACCCGTGGTGGACGGCCAGCACACTGGGCCCTGCCATTCAGAGGTCGCCGGTTTGATCGGCCAGCGTGGCAGCTGGAATAATGGGGACGTTTTTAGAATATATATCCACCCAGCAATGTAAATGAAAACCACCGTTAATAGGTAGGTCTAGGTCGAATGTGGTGGCGTAAAGCGTGGGTACACCCCTTCTCCGACGTCTGGCCAGTGAGGAAGAGTATGCCGATTTACCCTCTTAGTCGAGGTCACTTCCGTCAGCAGTCGCGCGAGCATGCGACGGCTGCAGACTTTACATGCAACCGATCCGTTACTGTAAAATTTAAATAGAAAAAAGTGGTCAAATTAAAGCAGTAAAAATTAAAGTAAAATTTACGATTGCATTTAGCCGACATATCCTGCCGCTAGCAATTCTGGAACATTCAGAAAGCGCGTTGGCTGTGCGCGATGAGATACCGGTCAGAGCTTCTCAGCCGACGGCACGGGACGTGATGGGGCTTCCAGAGGGGCGTGGTGGCCATGGTGAGGACGCACCTTTGCCTGGGATAACCCCACACAATCAGTGCACAACCTGGTGTCACAGCTGTTTCACATTTGCGTCTTTTTCCTGCCCCCCCCCGTACCACCACCCCTTTTCCTCCCGCTCCTCCTCAGCATTAACCGCTAAAAGTGTGTAGGCATAAAATTCTCAAAGCATCTTCGTGCAGAAGGGTCATTGCGAGCAAATGCGTGCATGTGCAGATGACACGTGGTTTGGGAATGTCGCCACATTTCCTCAGTCAGGGCGGGTTCAACTTAGTCGAGAGGAAGGGGTGTCTCAACATGAACACGTTGTCCTTGCTTTACCCTATCTGCCCATTAAACCTGAATGCAGCTGGAAAATATTACTCAGAGTCACACTGATCTCGGCTCGCACGCGCACTTGAAATATTGGTGAGAAGGCGGATAA